TAGAACTTGTGATCCTCCTGCTTCAGCCTCCTGAATACAGAGAATTACAAGTCTGTACCACCAGGCCCAGCTCCCAGCTTTCTCTGCTCAGTTCCTGCACACCTGGCCCTCCAGAAGGTCTCCACCTGGTGTTACCCCTGAGCACAGAATGGGGTACTGACCAGGATTCCCAAAGCAAGCTGGCACTGCTCTAACCTCCTTCAGTGCTTTTGTTCGGACTGATCCCAGCTCTTTCTTCACATGGGCAGCCATGAGGTTTCTGAAGGACAGGGACAGGAGGATATACCTGAAAGCCCAGTGGTGACATCCATTGATCCCACTGCTCTGTGCCCTCTTCATTCAACCTCTGTCTTTCTCCTTAGAGAAAGAGGAGTCAGGTTGCTGCTCCTTGAGGAAGAAAGGGACGTGTGAGGGAAGGAAAGGCCAGAGTGCTCTGTCTGATGGCTTTTGTCTTTGTCCTTGGCTTGGAGGTTTGGGAAGGGGTACCCACATTCCCACCCCAGGAACGACTGCCCAGTGCTGCCTTGTTCCTCTGCCACCGTCAGGCCTCCACCACTGCTGGACAGGCCAATGTAGGCTACTCCCAGAGCATCCAAACAGTGCATGCTGAGGGATCTGCTTCCTGGAGCCACTTTAAGCAATGCTTTTTAAGCACTGGTAACCACAAAAATAATTTGTTATTCTTACTATTTAATTCTGTGAAGGGCTATGAGATGGTGTTGATATTTCACAATGAATTAATTGACATGGTCTGTCTTCCCACTCCTAAAACCCCCACTTTAAAAAAAATTGAGTGTACTAAAAGTCTTCATAGAACTTACCATGAATATACTTTTAACAGTGTTTTCCAAACCACATGGGCTACAATCCATAAATAGACAATAATAAAGGCAAATTCAGGATGGGAAATTAGTTCAGTGGGTAAAGAGCTTGCTACATAAGCGTGAGGACCTGAGTTCAAACCCCTAGAACACACATACAAGTCAGATGTGTAGGTTGAGCATCTGTAATCCCAAAGCACCCATGGGAGGCTAAGAGTGGGGACAGGAGAATGCCCAGAAGCTCTCTGACCAGCTAGCCTGGCATACATAGCAGAAAACAGTGAAGACAGCAGCCTCAAGCAAGGCAGAAGGTGAGGACTGACACTTGAGGGTGTCCTCTGGCTTCAACAGGCACACACAGAAATGCACATATATACACACACTTTGTATACACACACTAAATAAATATAGACTCACTAATCACAATCTACATCTGTTCCAGCAGTGAGCCCACAGAGCAGGACAGGATGGACAGCAAGCATCCCATGTGGTAAGGGTAGTATTTCATTAACCAGATCCATGTGCATTTGTGTGTATGCACATATACATGCTATATGTATACCTACATGCATGTCGTTATCCCTGTACATAAATATGTACATACATACATATTTATGTAAAGGTTGTGATATCAAATGTAGTTTTCCCAGTTTTTAAAACCTATTTGTGATTTACAGATGGTAAAACTCATCCATTTCAGTGTACAATGTTGTGTGTATGTGCGTGAGTGCGTGTTACTGGGATTGAACCCAGGGACTCAAACACTATAGACAAGTGCTCTATCACTGAGCTATGTCACTAGCCCTCCTTGGCTTTTAATTTTGAGACATGGTCTCACCAAGTTGTCTTGGCAAGCTTTAAGTTCACCCTGTAGCCCAGGTAAGCCTTGATCTTTTGGTCTTCCTGCCCCATCCTCCCAAGTAGCTGAAATAACAGGCCTGCACCATGACTGACCGGTGTACAGTTTTTGATAAGTATAGCATGCATTCCTGACTCCGTTAACAAGTTTTATTAAAAACAGTGCAACAGCCACTTACAGTAGACTCCTGCCTTCACTGGACCTGTCCTGAGAGACACCATTCTGAGCTCTGTGGTGGATATGACAGAGTCGCTAGAGAGAAAATTGCGTACACCCCCAAATTTTAAAGTTTAGCAGGGCCTGGGGGTATTCTCTATGCTTTTTGAAACTTTTTTAAAGTTTTGCTATCATTTTACAAACCAAACCTAACAGAGAACCCAAGAGATAAAAGGCAGAGTGGCTGCTGACTGGTAGAGTGCCTGCCCAGCATGCTCAAGGCCCTGTTCCATCCCAACCCCAGAAGGGCCAAGTTGGAGGGTGTGCAGATGGTTCAAAGGCAAAATGTTTGCCTTGAAAACACAAGGACCAGAGTTCTATCCCCAGAGACCATATTTAAAAAGCCCATGTAGTACTTTGTGCTTGTAATCCCAGGGCCAGGGAAGTAAAGACAGGTAAATCCTGGGGCTTGCTGGCCAGCCAACCTAGTCTACTTGAGAATCAACAGCTGAGGCTGCCTTCTGACCTCCACAATCCTGCACAAGTGTACACAAGTACCTGCACACAGGTATGTACCAGCACATATATGAACACACACACACACACACACACACACGAGTTGGAACCTGGTGATGAAGTCTGACCTTCTCATGCCTAGGGTAGAAGATGAGTCAGAGTGACAGAAATGATGGCTAGGGTAGCCACTTCCTTTTGGCAAAGCTGGAACTCAGTCTAAGCCGTCAGCTCTTTTTAAGGCATTTCTTGTGCTTTGTCAGTCTTGAGGAATCCCAAGTGCCACTTCAGTCCTGCAAGTGAGAGGACACAGCAGACACATGCACAGTACTGCACTGGTATCAGGAGAGTACCTGTGGCTCCTAAGGATGGCAGGACTAACCATGTCCTGAAAGGCCCCAGCAAGTGATTCAGGCCACAGGAGTATGAGGACAGGCCTTGAGTTGTGAGCCCAATAATGACATGTTTTAGCCTTCACTTTGTGGGGCACATCTTAATGTGCATCTATTACTGCACAACCCAGGACATTTTATTTTACCTCTTTTAGCGTAGGCTTTCCCTTCTATAAAATAAGGTAATAATGACAGAGCTATGGTAAATAGAAAATGGAATTATTTATAGCAAGCAATTCTGTCACAAGTGCTCAACAATTGGTACCACTATTATGTGGTGTTTTAGTTAACTATGTCTGTAATAAACACTGATGAACTTTATGAAACAAATATAAGTATTATTTTGTAATAAAGGTCCATATAATATGAAATTATTTTAATGGATAATTTTAAACATTTAAATGTAATTCTTTACATTTATTTATAGAAGTAGGGCACAAGGGCACCTGTGTGGAGATCAGAGGACAACTTGTGAGAGGCAGTATTCTCCTTCCCCTGTGTGGGTCTTAGGGATGGAGCTCAGGTCATTAAGCTTGGTGACAAGTGCCTTTAAAATATGAAATTCTTTTTCTTTAAGCTTACATCTAAATAAGGAAATGAGGGGCTGGAGAAATGGTTCAGTGGTTAAGAGCGCCAGCTGCTCTTGCAGAGGACCCTGGTTCAATTCCCAGCACCCACGTGCTGGCTAACAACTGTCCTAACTCCAGTTCCAAGAGATCTGACATCCTCTTCTGACCTCCACGGGCATTGTATGACACGGGCTTATCCACATGCATGCAGGCAATACACTCATAACCATAAATAAAAAAAAAATTTTTTTAAAGGAAATGGGCCTACAAGTTCCCAGGAAGAGGTGTAGAATGAGGAGGCTGCCACTAGAGGGCTCTGCCTGCAGGGTCCGGGGAACCTTTCCTTCTGTGCAAACATGGGGAGCAGCCCTGAGAAATCCCTGGCCTTTGTAGACTCTGCCATTCAGTTTGCCATAGCTGTTGGAAGGGTGAGCCATAACAAGAACCTAAGAGAGTTACTTCTAGGAGCCACTTCCTCTAGACACCTGGGAAGGAGCTGGAAGGTGTCACACTAGGGACATTTTATTGCTGTAGTGAATGTCACTCTCCATCTGTACCACAGTGCCCACTTACCCTTACTGAGCATTGGAATGACACCATACAGTGCCCTATCAACTCTGAGACAAGCTCAGAAGTGCTAGATAACCAACAATAAGAAAACGCACCTTGAATCAGATTCCCAGTAGAGCTAGGGTCAAGACCTGAGGTTTGGGCAGGTGTGAATGAGAGCTCTTGGAGTTCTGGGGCCACAGACATCCCCTGAGTTCCACCTGCAGGGTGGTTTGCATGTCAACCTTAATCATACATTATTGGGATATGAGGGTTTAACAGTAACTAATTAACGCTCCCCTGGACCCTGTGACCACTCAGGGAAGCACCCTATTGCTTTTAAACAAGCAGCATTATTGGCCAGACACTTGCATCCCTCCTGAGTGGGCACAGTGAAACGGGTCCTTATAGAAGCAAATGCTAAGCTGGCTGCTGCAGCAGGAACCTGGAACTTTCTTCTTACTCCCCTGGAGGGACGCATCCATCCCAAGCCTTTGTCTTCTTTTTCTTATTATTACACTTTCATTCAAGTGTGTGCCTGCTTGTCTCTATGCGCACCACATGTGTACAGGTGCGTGCAGAGGCAAGAAGAGGGCGCCAGATTCCCTGGAATTGGAGTTTAGAAATGGTCGTGAGCTGCCGGATGTGAATGCTGAGAACTGAACCCCGGTCCTCTGCAAGAGCAGCAAATGTCTCAACTGCTGAGCCATTTCTCCGGCCCCCAATACTAGTAGAAATGTGAACACTTTGCTTCTTTGGACTTTGGATTTTCTTCTCCAAACAGAGCTGCCTTCTGGGCCTCTCTCCCCACCCCCACTCTCTATCTAAAACGGTTCAGATCCCCACTGGGGTGGCCCAGGCAGAGAGTGTCAAGCACCTGCCTCATTAACTGTTGCAAGACAGGCTTTACTGCTGAGGGTCTCGCTGCAATACGGTGACCCTGCTAAAGGGCTAAACGGGGAGGCGGAGACCTGAGACTGCAGTCAGGACTTGGCTGGGAGCAAGAGAGCGACGTGGGCTGCTGAGCTGGGCGTCCCGGAGCGGGGGCGGAGCAGGTGAGCCAACCGGGTGGGCGTGGGGAGTGCACTTGTACGTGACGTTGGAGTTTGCAGCAAGCCGGGAGTAGGAGGCTGTGCGCGCGTGTGTGGAGTGCTGCGCGGCCGGGAGGATGTGCACGGCGGGGCGGCCGCCGCAGTGAGCCGCGGCGACACAAGCGGGAGGCAGCCCCGGAGACCGGAAAGCCAGGGGCGAGCAGGAGGCCGCGGCCTGGAGAGGCGCGCCGCCCCGGCCCCAGGATGTAGGCGATCAGCAGCTGCGCTCTTGCAGGCGGCCGGCTCACCATGAAGAAGCATTCGGCCCGGGTGGCCCCGCTCAGCGCCTGCAACAGTCCGGTCCTGACCCTCACCAAAGTGGAAGGTAACGCGCGGCTGCGGGGCGCAGGGGTGGCGGGGTCTGGCGCGTCTGTCCCTGACCCCGAGGGACACCTGGCTGCGAGCGGGGCGGGGGCGGCGGCTCCGGGACGCGGTCCGCAGTGCAGCGCGCAGTCGCTGCCAGGAGCCTCCGGCGGAGGTGACATGCCTTGCACCTGGCTGGATCTGGGGCAGCGCTTTGCACCTGGTGGCTCTGCACCCCAGGGTGCCTTCTTTGCAGTCCCCATGCTCGTGCACCCAGGACAAGGGAGCCAGGCACTAACCAGTTTTCTCTCTCTCTCTCTCTCTCTCTCTCTCTCTCTCTCTCACACACACACACACACACACACACACACACACACACACACACACACACACACACACAGAGGCACGCACATCCCTTTCGCACCCTCCCCAGGCACCCAGAGATGCTGCTAGTGGAGACTGGAACATGTACTCCAGCTCCGAAGCCTTCCCTGGCTGCCTGAGAAGGGACTGTCAGGCTCCCGGAGCTTAGGCAGGGTTAGCAGGTGAGGGGAGCCAGGGCACCAGCCTGTAAACAGGTTCTTTCTCAGGCCTGCTGGGAGTGAGCGGGCCTGTGAGCAGCCCCCAGAAGGTATCCTCACCCAGCGTGCCTTTCCTTCAGTATGGAACCGCCCCCACTCGGGGGATGTGAGAGAGAAAGGGCCACAGGAGGAGGAGGGCTCTGTGTTACTCAGACACAGCTGTTATTCTGCTGGCCTGAAAGGGGACCTTGCTTTCCAACAGAGAGGGACTATCTCAGCTCTTAATTCCTTCCCCAGGAGGCAACTCCCTGGAGCTGACCAACCTGGCCATAGGAGGAAGGAGCACCCCTCTGTGGCCCAGGAGCCTCCATCCAAGTTCTTGCTGAGATGGCCCCAATGACTCTGGTTTATGCCCACGGGCCAGAGTCAGGCTCTCTGTGTGTCTGTGAGGTCCCAGTATCACACCTGTGAGTTCCTTGTCACACTAAGCCTTGAGGAGTAGTGAGGGTAAGACAGAGGCTGGTAGTTGTATGCTCCCAGTTCCACCTTGGGTCTGCAGATGAGGGCCAGAAAGGGTGGCAGACTGGTCCAACTACAGCCTGTTGGTGGTGATGCAAGAAGGGGATCCTGAACTGTGGGAGCCCAAAGCCATGCTTTCTTTTAGAAAGTCAGTTTGCATTGGCCTGCAAGTTCCTATGTCTCATCATTTTCTCTTTCCATGGCTGTCTTCTCCAACACCACCCCAGTCTCAGGAAAGGCTTGTTACTGATTGTCTACACCAGAAATTAGCAAAAGGGCCTCTTCCCCTAAGGATGGTATTGGCTTCCTCTCTTGCTCATGGGAGTTGGGAGGGGAAGGACCAAATATTTGTTTCTCTTGGGGAAACTGGACCATCCACTCACTAAGGAGCTCCTCACCAGAAGTCAAACACTTCCACCTGCTAGTAAAGCAGGTTGGTTCTTCAGCGCAACAGCAAGGCAGTCCCTCTGGTACATACGTTGGGGTAGACAAGCCTAAGCTCACTGGGAGAAGGGCTGGGAGGGGGTGATAAGGCCACCTAAGGTGGGCATGAAAGCTTAAGTGCTCCAGGGGCAGTGAATGATGCAGCAGACACAGGGATCTCCAAGGCCAAGCCTGGAGGATACCTCAATGGGGAATGGAACTGAATCTTGTCCCCTCCCCTCTCCTTGGGCTTCAGCCAGAAGAGCTCAAGTCTTCCTTTCCCACTGTCATGGACAACCACCTTATCATGACCATTCCCACATACATGTCTGTGGACCATGGCCAAATTCGTGGAATTTAGACTTGGTCAGATGGAGGTCCAAGATTCTGCCCCTTGTATAGTGTGGCGTGTGTTCATCATGAACTTCAATTTCTTCAACTGTAAAAGAGACACAACCTATTTCAGCAGACTGTTGGGAAATAAAATGATTTAAAGGTGAAGGACAGCACCTAGCACCTACCCAGTACACACAGTAGGTGAGATACACACGCACACACACACACACACACACACACACTCATACACACACACACACACGGCTAATCCTCCATTGTTTATCTCATTCCACAAATATTGTATAGAACAGGATCTGGAAATACCTGTGAGTTACTGGACTGTTCCCAGTTCCCTTTTGCTGAGATACCTACATGCATATCAGCCCAAGTCTTTACAGGCCAGGGCCTGACAAACCCACTCCTTCTTATGCCTAGGCTCACATAGCACATTTTTAAAACTTTTTTTCAATTTTATTTTTTATTTTTTATTTTACTATTTATTATTATTTTTTTATTTTTATTTTGTGTGTATGGATGTATTGCCTGCATGTAGGTAAGTGCACCCGTGTCGTGCAGTGCCCGCAGAGGTTAGAAGAGGCTGTCAGATCCCCTGGGACTGGAGTTATGGACAGTTAGTTGCTATGTGGGTGCTGGGATTCGAACCTGGGTCTTCTGTAAGAACAACCAGTGTTCTTAACTGCTGAGCCATCTCTCCAGCCCCACATAGCACATTTTTTAGGTGCCTGGCTTTGTTCCTTGGTGGTTTTGTTCAGTTTGATTTGGGGTATATTTTTTCTAAAATCATTTGCATATTGTTTGCTTATTTTTGGAAATGTTGAAACGTGTTGTTTTATCTTGAATGGATAGGGCAAGGTGGTCCCCATAGCAGGGATGTTTGTGTGTGAGTGGCAGACAGGCTAGAGGGACAGAATGCAGCCAGCAAGGAGTATTTATTGGTTTGTAGAGTGTGTCATCTAAGGGGTGGGCAAGAAGGCACCAGAATGTGGTATATATAAAATTAAAATAGAAAATACAATGCTTGGTTGGACTTAAATGCAGGAAGATAGACAAGATGACTTCATTCATTCAACAACTACTTCATGTGTCTTTACACTGTGACCTCTGGCTGTTGAGCAAGGTCCTGAAAATGCAAAAATGAATAACCTTAGCTTCATTTTATTGAAATTTCAGTCTAATGGGAAAGATATATCTGGATAGCTAGGTTATCAGATAAAAGGTAGAAAATTCTGGCACAAGACTAAGAACAAAGTGTTACAGAAAGACTGAAAATTGAGTGATCTGAGATGTTCCTGAGGAGGAAGCCTTCTAAGGACAAGGTCTTTTTGAAAAGACTGTCCAAGGAGGCCTTTCCGAGGAGAAGCTCTTCAGAGGAGATGGTGGCTTTCTCTGAAGAGCAAGACCTTTTGAGGAGGTAGCTATCTAAGGAGAAAGCTGCTCTTAAAAGACCCTCTGAGGAGGCCTTCTGAGAGGAGGCCTTTGAAGAGAAGGCTTTCTGAAGAGGAAGATTTCCTGAGAAAAGGCTTCTGGGCAGACCCTTGTGAAAGGAGGCCTTCTTGGGAGCAGCCCTTCTAGGTGGAGGCCCTTCTTAAGAGCCTTCCTGAGGAAGGGACCCTATACGGTGACCTATTACCGCAGAGCCTAAGGGATGTGAGAAAACATGTCAGACTCAGAGGAAAGGCGAAGCAGAGGGAATAGTGTATGTACAGGTTGGTCAGGAAGAATGAAGAAAGGTGAGGCTGGTCCTCTGGCGGGGGCTGAGTCATAAAAGATGGCTTTTGGCCAGGTAAAGGCTTCTGCCATCTCTAACAACATGTCTTGTTTTCATCTGCTTTTCCTGGATTTCCTGTCAGAAGATGCTGAATATCGATCAGCAGCACATCTCTAGTAGAGTAGCAATTACTACAATCATCTATATTCACAATCAGCTAATTCATGTTCAATAAAATTACATTCAATGGGAATTAATAGTGGAGAACAATACAATGAGGTCCCCCAGGAGATTGGCAGTCAGCACTGTGGAAACAGGAAAGGCTTTGGAGGAGGATGAACAGGGTTAGCGCTCAACCCTCACATGACTGTGTGATTTTTTTTTTTTTTTTTTGGTCTTTTTGAGACAGGGTCTCCCTATAGCCCCAGCTGTCCTGGAACTCACTATGTAGACCAGGCTGGCCTTGAACTCACAGAGATCTGCCTGCCTCTGCCTCCTGAGTGCTGGGATTAAAGGAGTGCACCACCACGCCTGGCGTGATTGTGACTAATGATTAAAGCTCTCTGGAATCATTTCTCTTCTATAATTGGGGGTAGGGATGGAGAGATGGACCTGAACTCAGTTCCCAGCAGCAACATCATGCAGCTCACAACTGCTTGTAAGTCCAGCTCCAGGGAATCTGACACCCTGTTCTGCCTTCTGAGGACATCTACACACATGTGGCATACACACACACACACACACACAAGAAATTAAAATAACTCTAAAAAAAACAAAATAAAATTGAGAGTAGTGTTTCCTTTAATAATAATAGAGCAGTAAATTTTTGTTGTTTTCAGTTTGGTTTTGTAATTTTTGTTATTGTTTGGTTTTAGCTTTGTGTTGTTGACTGGTAGTGGTGGTAGGTTGTTTTCTGGGGAGGCTGTGAGGGGGTGTTAGTGTAGAGTTATGTGTACATGTGTGTGCTTGAGTGTAGGGTCAAACATCTTTTCTCACGTGCTGTCCACCTTGCTTTTTGAAAAAGGGTCTCTCATTGGCTTATACCTCACCAACTTGACTAGGTTGGCTGGCCAGTGAGCCCCAAGGGTCAGCCTATCTCTGCTCCCCACCCCAGCACTGTGATTAAGAATGAGTTCCACTCTACCCAGGGTTTTTTATCATTATTATTCTAATGTGGGTCCTAGCAGGTTGAACTCCGGTCCTCCAATTTACATGGCAAGCACTTTGCTGGCTGAGATACCTTCTTTTATTTTGGTTTGGTTTTTTGTTTGTTTTTGTTTTTGAGATGTGGTATTGCTATGTAGCCCAGACTAGTCTAGAACTTGTGATCTTCCTGGAACTCTGTGAATGTGTGTGCTCCCTAATTTCCCACTGTGATGTGGGGGCTCCCAGAACCAATGGCCCTCGGTGATATTCTTGGGGTATCAGGCAGTCTCAGATGCCCCCAGAACAGGTCTGGCCAACTTACTTCTGCCACTATGTATAGTAGTTACT